GGCTCAGGTCTCAGACTTCGTTTGTTGAGGGCTGATACTGGTGGTTTTAGGGTCCTTCCAGTTATACATATTCTTTGGTGGTTTTAGGGTCCATCCAATTACATAGATTCACCGGTGGTTTTAGGGTCCTTCCAGTTATACATATTCTTTGGTGATTTTAGGGTCCATCCAATTTATACATATTCACCGGTGGTTTTAGGGTCCATCCAATTATACATATTCACCGGGGGTTTTAGGATCCATCCAGTTATACATATTCACCAGTGGTTTAGGGTCAATCCAATTATACATATTCACCGGTGGTTTTAGGGTCCTTCCATTTATAAATATTCACCGGTGGTTTTAGGGTCAATCCAATTATACATACTCACCGGTGGTTTTAGGGCCCTTCCAGTTATACAAATTCTTTGGTGATTTTAGGGTCCATCCAATTCATACATATTCACCGGTGATTTTAGGGTCCATCCAATTTATACATATTCACCGGTGGTTTTAGGGTCCATCCAATTTATACATATTCACCGGTGGTTTTAAGGTCCATCCAATTATACATATTCACCGGTGGTTTTAGGGTCCATCCAATTTATACATATTCACCGGTGGTTTTAGGGTCCATCCAATTATACATATTCACCGGTGGTTTTAGGGTCCATCCAATTATACATATTCACCGGTGGTTTTAGGGTCCATCCAATTTATACATATTCACCGGTGGTTTTAGGATCCATCCAGTTATACAGATTCACCAGTGGTTTTAGGGTCAATCCAATTTTTACTGATTCACCGGTGGTTTTACAGTCAATCCAATTATACATATTCACCGGTGGTTTTAGGGTCAATCCAATCATATAGATTCACCGGTGGTTTTACGGTCAATCCAATTATACATATTCACCGGTGGTTTTAGGGTCAATCCAAATATATGGATTCACCGGTGGTTTTAGGGTCCTTCCAGTTATACATATTCTTTGGTGATTTTAGGGTCCATCCAATTTATACATATTCACCAGTGATTTTAGTGTCCATCTAATTTTTACTGATTCACCGGTGTTTTTTTTTTTAATGTCCATCCAATTTTTACAGATTCACCTGTTGTTTTAGGGTCCGTCAAATTACACAGATTCTTACAGTCCTCGTAACGCCCCGGGACAGCCACGTAAACAAAACACGAATATAGACGGTACTAGCACAGCTATAAGGCAATCACCTTAACCCTATTTTTTGTGCCTGTTAAGAGGATTATTTAATCTGATATTTTGAAGACCAGTGAACCATCATTTAATCCTAATGTGGCCGATAGGTAAACCACAACACAGTAGAAATAAAATAGCTACCACTCTTGATTAGGGAGTGGTCGAGAAGGATAACAATAGAACTGATTATTCTGCTAGTAGGCTTATTATTTGGATTTTGCGATTTTTCTATTTATTATTCGATGCCAAATACATCGCTATGAATGTTAAAAACAGACTTTTGGTACGTAGTACAATACAGACGCTTAAAATGTATTTCATGTTAACTATGAATTCGGATATTGAAGATATCATTTTAAATATTAGATTCGCTGATAAAACACCCTTAAAAGATTATAATTTACTCTGGAATTCGCATAATTCATATAATCATTTCAAATCCCAACATTGTAAAAAGGGTTAGTTCAAATTTAAAATGACTGCTAACGCATTTTCTCATTAGGTATGTAATCGTGGCTGGTTATATGGCTATATGGCTAGTGATGTTTGGGTTCAGTACAGGGATCGTGATCGCAGTATATCAGGCACCGGATGGCATCAAGCCCCAGATCGAAGGCTAAGCCATGACACGGCCCCGAGTTGGCTTCCAAAGTCAATCTGATCTGATTTATGGGTTCATATAGTCCACCTATTGCGAGTTTACATTGTGAATTAATAACCTAAATCATAAATGGAATTAAAAAAATATAAATACACATTAACAATATTATTTACTTGGAATAAAATACGATATTTGTATTGCAATAGTATACCATGTAAAAAATCTTAAGAAGTTAAAACATAGCTGAAACTTTAACATTACCAAACTGATGAATCACAGAAACACAAAACATTCCAGCAAATCGTACCCAAGCAGGTTATTACTTGTACACAATTTCCAAGGAACATACTCCACTATTTCAATAATTGTTCAATATTTCATATTGTGAAAAATGTAATACAAACATTCAAAATGTTTCATGAAACAATAAACATATTCACCACCGTTGTCGATACAAAGGAATTATATGTGAACAAAGCATCAATTATCAAAACAAACACGGTGCAGTAGCAGCAATCGCATTAGTTACAGATGACCGGTGCAGTAAAACATTGACCATTCGTTAGACCTTATCTAATTTACTGATCAGTTATAATAACCAAATTGGATTTTAGTTGAATATCAATACACTTGTGTAATCCACTTATCGCCATTGTTGTTTTACATGGTGTATGAGTTTAAGCATTATATCGACGAAAACGTGGTGTTTTGAAATTATTTTTAACGGTGCAAAATCTTTTTGCTGTTATGATAGGCTAGGAGATGATGAACTAACTCATAATAAATGGAAAATGGGTGGGATATATAATTTGTTGAGAAAGGTACTTTGGTAATAGATATGAAGGCACCAAGCAAAGTACGTATGGTAACTCTTACAGGTATAGGCCAATCTCCTGCGCAAGAATAGTTAGCAAATATCAACACTCTCCGTACTTAAAAAAAAATTGGTGTACTATACAATCTAAATATATAAAAGCCAAAGCCCTCACTGACTGACTCACTCACTCACTCATCACTAATTCTCCCACTTCCCATTTACCTAGGAGGCTGAAATTTGGTGCACAGATTCTTTAGGCATTATATAGGAAAACTAAGTTGTTTTAATTCTGATCGGACTCTCGGGCTCCGCCCCAGAGGCTCTAGAGTTACCCATGTTAACCTTATGATTTTTCATATTTAAATGGAATTAATAAGTGGTGTACTATACAATAGTAAATATATATGGGATTATAATATATTGTTAAAAGGTTTATTCGGTGTTATATTACATGGCTGTGTTATAAAAACAAGCATTAATTTTTTTAGTTTGAATTCTTTAAGTACTTAAGAATTTCGTGTAGCTAGAAATCCTAATGTAGAGGTGAAGAAACTGTGATGTGATAGGTAAGGAGCCGAGTATAAACAGAATGTCGGGACCTGAATTCAAGTGGACCAAGTCATCATTATTTCAAGAGTCCTCATTGATTCAGTGTTCCGCCTACTCTCACCTTTCTCCCTCCACAGACAAATCCACCCTCTCTCCTGCTTACAACCCTTGCACGACATGCAGCGATGCACACGGAGCGCATCGGGCTGTTGTTATAAATAAACTAGTATATATATTCCCAGTATGCTTTACTCTTCACCACACATTCATATGAACATATCATTTTATGATCCATCGACAATACGACATGTTTCAGTAAGTAGGTAACGTGATAAATTTTGATAGTGACAAAATCAAATACACTTTGTGGGCTGCGGGCTACTACTTGCGAATCATTGGCTAACCTGACTGGTGAGAGATTTTTAGTAAATATTTGGTTTTATATTAGCATTAAATAAGATTGTTTTCATAAGCAATATTTCAGGTCGAAATTAGAAGAATTATGTTATTAAGTTTTAGGAAAGTAGTAGACCTTTATTAAAACGTTTATCTGATAAATATAAGTGTCCAATTATACTTGGTATAACCTAAACCCGCATATACCGTAAAAGATCTTTCTGTAATTCCCTTACAAATATATCTTCGCATAAACAAATCGATCATAGAGTAAGAAGGTGTGAATAGTGTATTTGAATTCCTAAAAATATATGTGATAATTTCAAGCTAGTTATCACTATCATATTATCAATTTTATCTTAATTAAATTTCAAATGTCCTGTTAAAATCTCTGAGGACACCGACAAAGTTTTATATACTGTTTAAAACTACAGAATGTCTATATCTCAAAGGTTATTATTAGAACTAAATAGAAACTATGATAGCTAATAATTGTAAACATTAAAGGGAAGTGACGCATACTGATTCAATTTATATAAACAAACGATTGCAATAACATAGATTAACAATTAACTCTTTGTTTGGTTAAACAATAATTGGAATTGGTAGAGGACGGCTTTGGCCTGCACTTGTAACTATGGAGGTGCATTTTTCACCAGTACACGAGTCGCACATGTTCAATAATCGATTTGCATCGATAAAACTAATAACGAGTTTTCTATGTTTGAGTGAATGTGAATGATATCTGCATTTTGTGACCTAGGTAGTGTTGAACATAAAAAATACTTTGACACGAATTAAATATAATTTTAAACGTTTAGAAAAAACTTAACTTATAAACATCTTAACACAACATAATGTAGTATAAATAAATATCTTCTGATATTGAATTTTTATTAAGGAGGATAAGAAAACTATTGTAATTTGCTTGTTTATGGATGTATTTTGATCAAACTTGGCAAATTTATTTATTTTATACTACTAAGCTATTAATAATTTTAATACAAAGCACACTTTATAACCCTCCCTGTAGCAGCAAACCTAGATATTCATTAAATTTAATGTTATTGAAATGGATTTAATTGAAAGTCAAATCAGGCAAGTTGGAATTCAGTCTGCAGGTTTGTTGTGGCGGTGTATTTTAAATTTAAGGATAGCTGTGAATAATCGATATATGAATATTCTAAATGGCCATTTTAGTTTACTAAAGGCTTTTAAGAAAAATGAAAATATAACCCGTACCTATAAATACCTTTTGCAATTTCCAATAAGGAACAAACCGTTTTCCTAGAAATTGTAGACGTTGCTTTTATAAACTCTAAAACTGTTAATAATTCAAATGAAAAATTTTTTGTTGACAGACTGTTCTAACAGGCAAGCATTTATTACCAAAACCTAGGAATGTAACGAGATTTGGTGGTTTATGAGTTTAAATACAACACACCTTTAACAGCGTTCAGCTTGTTCCCCACCATCTGCTTCGCCACAAACGCCGCCATCTTGGTCTGGTCGGCTTCTCTTCAACGTGGGAATTTGCTTCAATTCAGTACTGAAACACAACAATATATATGAATGAAAACAAATAATGCCTTACTACATGCAGAATGCCAGTCTTATAAATCAGAAATAAATAAATTAGTTATTTATACTCTAAGTAAACGTGGTTTTATTCTTTGGCCTGGATGGTGTCTAGAGATGGTTGAAATGTTTGTATAGTGGCAAACATTAATTTGTGATCTTAATAAAAAAATAAGAACTAATCTAAATGCATCATAATTCAAAACCTGGCCATAATCATCTAAATGAGACAAGAAGTTGAGATAAAACAAGTTTCGTCATGAAAAAGTTTACATTTGGAACAAAACTTAATTTATTTTTTACACACGTGCCTTTATAGTTTTAAACAAACACTATTCCATTACTTATAATATTAACTTATTAACTTATTATATGTAAGTAATGCTTCTGTGTATTTTAAACGAGTAATCCTGTATTTTTTCAAATGATACAACAGATAATTTGTACGAAACTGTAATTGGAACACAAAGCACGGTTACATTAAGCAGTAATTCCGTTGGCCCACTCAGTTAGCATTAATTGCAGTAACATTATTCAGCCTCTGGGCTCGGGGTGTGAGGCGTGGGGCAATCAGCCATTCTAAATCATGATCAACTTTATTTATACCCCAATTATCTGACACCCCCAGGGAGAGGAAACTTTTTGACATTTCCCATACATCTTCCTGACTTAAAAATTACTTTTTAACCTAAATTTTTTGAAAAACCTCCCCTGCCTTGGTATTACAAATGGGCTTGCCTATTAACAAGATTTAACTCATGTTTGATTTAAGTTGTATATTATTTTCAAAAAAGGTTAAATATTGACGATAATAATATTTTAGCTTGGTTACATTTGGTAGCACATTATTATTCTATGAATATGTGATTTACAAATATGAACCCAATAAACCTTCTTGCATTTTATAAATTTCCTCAGCATAAAAACGTAATTAAACTTTCATGTGAAATAAAATTATGTCCATTTAAAATTTTAACTAAATACTGGTTTTCCATTCTTGTAAAGTTAATTCTAGTAGTTACAAGCAATGAATGTAAAGTCCATTGGCGCGATTTTAAATAAGTGTATGAAATGAAAAAGACAAATATATACAATAAGAACAGGTGGTTAGAGATTCATTGCAATAAATCCATGAGTTACTAAATATGTTTGCCCATTGCTGAAATGTAAACGTTGTCACTGTAAACTTGCCAAAACATAAAGGTTGTGATTTATTATCATCAGGTTTTAAAGAGAAAAGTATTACAGGTGATAAAGCACGAAAGTCTAGAAAATGACGTCATAATCTGAGCCATAAGCCTTCTGGCACAGGCACTACCTTACACAGGACCGCCTGTAATACCTGGACTTGTCACCCCTAGCTACTGCGCCATATATATAATATGTTGCTGTTCTGTTACAATAGGCTATTTATGCAACGGTTTATTTATAAAAACTCCTCATCGAATCTGTAAATAAAAAAATGCTCAAATTGATAACTCTAAACTGGCGAATTTCTGTTAAATGTCTACTCGTGTTTCAACAAAAAAGATCTTCTAAAAAGGATTTGGTTGCAAAATGTATCAGGTGTTATTGTTCGTTGTTGCGCTATCAGGTTATGATTCTATATAAAATAAGACCAACGTTATACAATAATAAGACTAGGTCTTAGATCGTTGCCGCACAAACATTTTAAAAATGCCAAAGCTGTACATTCAAGGTAAAATGAAATTTTGTGAACATTCCTTTGAACATACACAGGCAGTCACACAGATACATATATTCTTTAAACTCAAAATGTTTTAGGAAATGAGCTTAGTGAAAAAATGGGTCATTAGAAATGTCAATCCTTATTAACACGTCTATTTTTCATAACAGTTTTTGTCGAATCTTAAATGCACAAAGTGTTGTCACATGTAAATAAAACAGAGAACAAGTATGTGCGACGAAATTCCTAGCTTAAAATATGGAAAAATATACTACGTCGGTTGGTATGCAAACGTAAGAATCTGTGAGAAAAAAAACATATTTTTAATTTAGAAAAAGCTGAAGAAATTATCAAAACCACTGTAACTTTAGATAGGTAATTGCTGAAGGAATTCTTTCAAATATAACCGAATAGTTATCACCATTTAACAACGCAAACCACCCGCCTCTACAAAGCTAGGGTTGGCCGGTTACACTAAATCAAGATCAACTTTATTTATATCCTAACTTTGGGACGTGCGTAATGAAGGGAAACTTTTGAACATAATTCAAGCTTATTTTATTTCGGTCCAAGTCTATTATGTGGGTTTACGTAGGAATGTAATTTACTTAATTTACATAGCTCCATTAAAAAAACTACTTTATCTTGCCTTTAAGAACAATATTAGTAAATTTTGATAAAAACAATCGTTATGGAATTATTTGTTGGTAATCGGTTTTATTTTTGGTTGATAAATCAAATACATTATGTGCTCTTTAAGGTATTATGTTAGAGGTTTCTTGGAAAAGATTGATAAGAGGTTGCTTATAATGTTAAAAAAAAATTCCTTCCGCTATCTTCTGAACACACAAAATTATAAATAATAACAGATAATTAGAAAGTGCAATACGATTGAATTAACCAGTTTACATTTATCACTAATTAATTACAGTGGACAATTATTTGTATATTGATGAAAGAATTATCAAAGTATAACATAACAGAAATATAATAATAATATCAGTCAAGGTATTGAACAGAAATTGATATAAATTATGGACCATGCAGCTTTCCTATCAGCCACCAAGCACATTCATCACAGATAAAACTGCTGCAACGGACATTTGACTGTGTAACGTATCTATGCTGCTAATATAGGCGTAGAGTTTTATAAAACACACCACTACGAGTGTTCATAACGCTGCTGCAGATATTTTACAGTACAGCTTCTCTCAGCTTTTTATTGATTTTTCTCACAGCTTCTTACGTTTGCACACCAACCAACGTAGTATAATTTTTCTATATTTTTAGCTGGGGTGTTTTAGTTGCAAATATTTGTGTGCTATTTTAATATTTCTAACCTACTGAACTGCGATATAGGTGTATATTTGTATAAAACAAACCACTACAGTGTTCATAACGCTGCTGCAGATATTTTGCCGTGTAATATTTTTATGCTGCTGAACTGCGATATAGGAGTATAGTTGTATAAAACACACCACTACAGTGTTCATAACGCTGCTGCAGATATTTTACTATGTAATATTTCTATGCTGCTGAACATAGGCTTATAGTGTAAAACACACTACTTCAGAGTGTTCGAAATGCTAGTGCGGATATTTCACCGTGTAATATTTCTTGGAAGTGTATACCACACAGAATAACCTTATTATGATCGCCAATATAGGCTATATTAAAATTTGTAACGTATGACAAAAAATACAATCATGTAAGCCAATACTACTTGTATGACCAAAATACAATTCATGCAAATTTTCGGCCCACTTTAATATAAACCAGCAAACTCATGTGAGTAAGGATCTTAACGGTATACAGGAAATTCGTACAATTTGTATAATATTTATATTACAACAACATAAATTTTAAGAAAATTACTGCGCCATTTTCTAGTGATAAATGGGGTTTCCCCTTACCGAAATTAATATTTTCCTGCCAAGAAGGGATAAGATAAACAGTGTCAAGTCAAAGTCGAAGCGAGAATATTAATCGGGTAGTCTCCTTGAGGCGGTCCGTTGTTTGCTGTCTGTCAGCAGCTTCGTGCGTCGACATAATTACTACAGTGGAGCCCGTGGTGGCTCTCAGCAAGAATAACACAACATTCACACTGAGATTTCTACATATGATTTGAATGTTTACTAATACAAAAATTTTATTCATGTTGAATTAGTAGTTTGACTGTAACTTCATATTTATGTAACTAAAATTGATTAATAATCAATCACATATCCCCGAAAGAGACGGGTTGCAAATTTAAAAGTTCTAACAGTGAGAAACCTTAGAGATCAACACATAGTATATGGTGTGAGATGATCTAGTGCTAGTGTAAGAGTAGAGGGATTTGGTCTCTGAATTCCTGGGTTCAAATCCTGTCAATCACCAATTAATTTTAGCTGTGTAATATTGACAAGGTCCTCTAGGCCTTAGTCTGTAGAAATGTGTAGCGGGTACGGACTAGAGCGTAGCGTTTTAGGATGCAAAAGTAGGACATGAAACACTTCATAACCAATATTGCTTTCTAGCATTAGGTTAATTCAGTTTTGGTTTATGTTTTGTAACGTTATGATGTATACGCATAATTAACTTTAAACATGTCAATTTTTGTACTGATTTTAATAAAAGTGTAAAAAAATACAATGAGGAGTTTAAGGATTGAAGTAGGGCCTACACTAAAACCTGCAGACATGGTTGTAAAGATATGCAAGATTGCTGAAAGGCATTAAAAACATAACCCTAATAAACACGATAAAATGTTTTCGCGATTTTGATTGTACCATTTTGTTCCTAAAGATTTTACTCTGAATCCATTATTAAGAGTAATTGCGACTGATAATGCGATGATGGTGCACATCAAAATCTAAATTTTTATATCTATATTACCACTCTACAACAGACCGGATGTAAATTAAGTTAAACACAATTGCCATTTCATTGATTTCAAACTATAGTTTACTTATAAGTCTTGTAAGTATATAAGGTAGATACTGCTAGATTGTTTTCAAAAACATTGGTCTCATAACAAGACCAAGGTGTCCAACTTGTTTCCAAGAATAACTCCGTAATCTCCCTCATAAGCTTGTTAGTCTTTTGTTACTCGCGACAATTCTGTTTCTCTAACTTTTATTTGTATTTGGGTATTTCTAAAACAACTTATTCCCCCAACCATGTAAAGCTTGAAATCGATTTTCATTGAAATTGCATTTTATTTTAAACTAGAATGTAGTAAGAATAGATTAGTTGTAGCAGGGCCGGTTTAACCCATACGCGAACTACGCGGCCGCATATGG